TTATTGCACCTTTTTTTTTCGTGTATCTTTTGCAATTTTTTCCTTTCGGCTTCTCTTATTGGTTTAATTTTAGTTCTTTTTTAAACTCTGTATTAATTATTCTGTAGCTCCCAATAAAACCCACTAAAACGTATCTCGAATCAATTGTCGGTCGACCCTCAATACTAATAATAATTATTTAATATTTTTGTAGATAATAAATTATTTATGATCTATCATAATTACAACAATTATATTATCTATTAAATTTTATGAAATCAATATACTAATTCACGTGTAGTTAAGTAATTTATATCTATAATATTCATTTACTAATCGAATTTGTAAATTATTATCAATTATCTTTTTTATAGTTTTAAAATCATAGATAAATATTCATTTATAATATTTTATAAATTATATTTGTACATGTTTATAGATTTGATTACTAATTTATGTCAAATGGCTCAACGAATTTAATAATTAGGCACCACAGGGCGTAAATCATCTTCAATCGTAGATGAATTGGCACCACGTGGTGTATGGCGTCAATAGGCCCACCTTAGAAAGCTGTAAGCACATAAATAGTGGTTAAAGGACATATAGATGTCTATAACTAACAGCACTGCCTAAATAACGATATACTATTTTTTCTCGCAAAATTGTGCTTCTAATAAAACTTCTTCATAAAAATACGATATCAATTTAAAAAATGGAAACAAAAATTTAATTTCCCCTGATCAACGCGCAATCCTAATTTTCCCCTCAATCGACATCCGGTCTTCTTATTCTTCTGCCGTCACACGAGTTTTTTGTTTCAATCTACCGTCAGTTTTTATTCATTTAAATAAAAGATAACAAAATTTTATTGGTTTTGCTTGAATAATTTTTTTCTAGTTTGTTTATAGTTTATCTTGGGTTTATATTTCTAGTTTATTTTTTGTTTATCTTGGGTATATAAATGAGTTTTTCTAATGTAAATTTATATCTAGTTTATTTTTAATTTATTACAAGTTTATAAGGTAATTTATTTTCAGTTTATCAATCAATTTTTCTAACAAAAACTTATGACTAGTTTATTTTTAGTTAATTACATGTTTATAAGCTAAATTTATTTTTAGTTTATCACTCAATTTTTCTAACAAGAATACAATAAATTTAAATTTATATATAGTTTATTTTCAATTTATTATACAAGTAAAAACTAATTTATTATATAAAAAAAATATATAAGGTTTATTTTCAGTTTATTATACAAGAAAAAATCCAAGAATATTTTCAGTTTATTTTTAGTTTATTTTCAGTTTATTATACAAGAATGTTTTCAGTTTATTATTAGTTTATTTTCAGTTTGTTTTCAATTTATTTTCAGCTTTGCCACAAATTAAGGCGAATTCTTCATGATGTGCTTAGTGTCCAAGAAGCTCTTGTTTTGAGCCGCTGAAATTATGTCACCAATTTTCCACAATGAACTCATTGGCACTGAATCTGACGAGAATTATCATTCGTATGCGAAAAATTCAAAGACGTTTAAAAAATACAGGAAAATTAAGCAAAAATCTAAAAAAAAAATCCAACAACTCAAAGATTTGAAATTCAAATGCCAATCAATTAGATCCCCAACCAAAAAAGTAAATCAAAATTAATGAAACCCTAAATCAGTAATTAGAGAATTTACCACACCTTTCCGACTACACGTCTTGTCCCTCGACGAGTTATATTCCAAGCGTCAAGACGGCGGGTGGGGGCGGCGGGCGGCGGGCGGGGAAGAAATCGGAGAGGGAGAGGATCTCGAATAGCGGGTGACGTTTGCGACGGTTCTGGTGATGCTGAGGATGCAGATCCCTGGCAGTGCGTGGTGAACGAAGGAGGGAGAGGATGCATCATCATGTCGAACCTCAAGGTGGACGGTCGGGGGGTGATGATGATGTGTTGGGCTCTTCTGCACTTCGACTCTGCGAAGAAAAAAAGGAGGTCTTAGTAACAAATAAGTTGACTTCAAGGAAAGTTATACTCGTTTTATGGTAAAGAAAAAGATAAATGTGGTATTAAGTTTTTTTATTCGTTAATAAGGCATAAAACTTTACGGTGGCCGTCCAACAGGTAATTTTCTCATAAATAATGGCCTCAAATCCCGCCTGGCCCAACTTCCTAGGCCCATTTATATCACACTCCGGATATGATGAAACGGGATGAATTGGGGAAAAAATACATCACTAACCCAATTATGAAAAAGAATTCCATAAAAATGTTTAAATATATTGAATTTCAAAAATACTCCTATAAAAGTCAAAATACTCCAATAAGGAGTTACAGTAATTCAAAATTCTAACTGTCCTTTTTCTCTCTCTTTCTTCTCACTCCCACACTTCTCTTTTTTTCTCTCTTCTTCAATTATCTTCTTCTTCTTCTTCTTCAGTTCTTCTTCTTTTCTTTTCCAAACATGAATGCCTAAAGAAATAAAACAACAACCAAAAAAAAAAAAAAATCAATTGGTTATGTACATAATAATTAAATCAGATTAAAAGAAAAAAAAAAAAACTTCAAAAAAAAAAGTTAAACAGAAGACCGAATCATTCAGAAACCATTGTCACACTAATCACTCTCGGTAAGTTCCCGTAGTTTTCCCTTTGACATCAAAACATAAAGAAAAACATCTTTCAAGAAGTAATAATTTTTTAAAAAATAAAAGAAAAGAATAAAATAAAAAATAAATACATCGAATTTGGTGGATAGTTGTATGATAGTTGGTCACATCTTGGCATTATAAGGAAGAGCAAAATACACATAAAAAACAATAATAACAAATAAAAAATTATAATAATTAAAGTGCCCAAACAAGTTGGTAGACAAAAACCATTCAAAAACAATATAACATTTTCAAGCAACATAAAAATAGCCTAAAAGCAACACAAAAATGGCGTAAAAACAACATAAAAATCAGGGCCCACATACTCGGTAACCTGTTCTCCATAAATAAAATTACCAACATATTCCCATAAAACAAACAATTCGCCTCATGCTAAGAACTCCAAATGAAATGAACATATACGAAAAATCATACTTCAAAAACTAATCAACAAGGAAATCTCGAGTTTCTTCAGAAATCGACGAAACACAGGGTTCAATCGGCTCAAAAATTAAGGTTGGACTCAAGGTAAGGCTCTGAGATTAGAAAGGGTTCAGCTCCACAAAATTTAAATCGGAACTTGAAGCAATATTAATCGAACTCAAATCCTTACATTTCTTCCAAAAATTAGAAATCGAAAGTCTGCACGAGCGATGAATTTTTCTATAAATTTTACCTTATATGGCTGTTTGTTTCGAGAGAAGAAGAGGAGAGAAAGAAAAAAAAAAAAGA